TCCGCCACAACGCCTGGCTATTTTTTGGTTGCAGCCATCATTGTTTTGGCGGGCCCGGGCTGGATTCAAACCCGGCACCTTAGGTGTATGTGGCTGGCGCCTTAGCCACTTGAGCCATAGGCGCCAAGCCTATATTACATCTTAATATCTTTAGAAGGGAGTGAGAAGGGGACATAGTGAGAACACTCAAATGTTAATTACTTTTGTCCCTTTACAGGCAGTCATCTACATATATTATTTGTATTTTCTATACCTGGAATTTCTTTTGTATGTTGAAAGTCTACTTATCTTTGAAGCTATCTGTTCAGCTGGACAGCTTGTCTAGCAGTGATTTCTGTTACTGTCATGCTGTTTTTTTGGTACTGCTTTTGGGGAGTATATTACCTGTGATATCGTACTATGTACACTTTTTTCTTTTCTACTCACTTAAGCAAGATTCATGCCATTTTTTTCAGTGACCCTCAGAGCCTGGCTATTCAAAGTGTAGTCTCCAAGCTAGCAGCTTATCAACAGAGAGCTTGTTAGAAATGCAGAATCATGGTCCCTACCCTAGACCTACTGAATCAGAATCAATACTTCAACAAGATTCTCAGATTTATCCTCATTTATTTGTATGATCATTAAAATTTAGCTTTGCTATTATAATCACATTATGGTGGTGTTTTACATTACATCAGCCAAGAACAGTCTTATAACACATCAACTAGAAATGCTTAAGATTTTCTTATTTATTTGCTGAAAGTTCTTGCAAGCTATGACATTGTTTTTCTGTTTTACTTTGAATACTTTGGGTATCTTGAATACCATTACCTTCTGTATTACTTGTATTAGCCATCAAAGATCCAGCACAGATGCCTTTTTCAACTTCATTCCTTCTGTCAGTTCCTTGTCTGTAGAGTATGGGTATTTTAATTGGAAAGAAGATAAAAAATGAAAATTTTAAGGAATAAATTACAAATTTTAAGAGTATTGAAGTTTCAAATTTCTGAGTTGTTAAAAAATATAATTTAAATAAATTTCCCTGGACCCTTTCAAAAATATAGTAGTCATTTAAATACAACGAAAAAATGATGCATTTTACATATATAGCTTTTTTACTTTTCTTTCTTCTTCTTTTTTTTTTTTTCCCAGAGACAGGGTCTTACCCTGTCACCAAGGCTGGAGTACAGACATATAAGGATTGCTCGGTGCAGTTTCAAACTCTTGACCACAAGCATTCCTCCTTCCTCAGCTTCCACTTCAGCTTCCCAAATGGCTGGGACTACAGGCATGAGCTACCATGCCTGGCTAATTAAAAAAAAAAAAATCTATAGAGAGAGTATCTCACCATGTTGCCCCAGGCTGGCCTTGAACTATATACAGTTTTTAGAAGACAGAATCATGGAAACCAAATGGTGATGTGCTGAACTCCTGGTTATTACAAAAATAAAATGAATGATAACATTTTTATGTTGAATAAATAGTATTTTCCTAATTTAAAAAGTAATCCACTATTGGTGTAGGAAAACCCCCAAAACATAGAAAAAGAATACTAACACAATCCAAGAAGAGTTCTTCTTTGAATATTTAGCTACTGTACTTATTATTTATGCATCTTAAAAAAATAAAGCTGAGACAATAATGCCTTATAAAATTTCATGTCATCTTTCACTTACTATATACATGTTATATGTGTTTTATAGTGTTTACTGTTAAAATTATTATATATTTAAATTGACTTTCTTCAGATGTAGAGTTCTATGAATTTTAATAGATATTTAGATTTATGTTGTTATCACCACAATCAAAATACAGAACAGTTTCATCATGCCAAAAAACTCCTTTTATATATATTTTTTAATAGTCATGCCATCCCTTATTCACAACCACTGGCAACCACTGAAATCTCCATAACTATAATTTTGACTTCAAATCATACAGTTTAGAAATCTGTGACTAAGTTTTGTCTCTAATATAATGCCCTTAATATTCATCTCAAGTTGTTATGTGTATCAATAGGTGGTTACTTTTTATTGTTGGGCAGCATTCCATTTTACACATGTACTAGCTTATTTATTCACCTGTTGAAAGAAATTTCTCAGTTTATTTTTTTTTTGCAGTTTTTGGCCAGGGCTGGGTTTGAACCTGCTCCCTCTGGCATAGGGGGCCAGCGCCCTACTCCTTTGAGCCACAGGCACCTCCCTAGATTTCTCAGTTTTTGAAAATTGTGACTAAAACTGCTATAAACATTGATACACAGGATCAATATGCCCTAAATTGCAGGGCATATCTATAAACATATACATTTGAAAATTACAGTATCAGTAAAAGTGATACAGTTTACAGGTGAAATGAAACTATCTGGAATTGGCCTACTATAAGTTTCTGAACCTGGACTGATACAATATATTTATATATGTTATATATAAAAAAGTTTTGTTTACATCAAGTGGAATTGGAAATCCATGCTTTTACTTTTAAAATCTAAGGAGGGCAGAAATCCAGACTAAAAAGATATTTTCTCTGCTCTATGTTGAGTCCAACAGCTTCATTCATGAACCACTTGTTAAAAGTCTCAAATAATCAACAAAACGAGAAAACCCATCCATACTACCAGTTGCTGGACATTTCTTAAGCAAAGGGGTAGAGTAAAAGTAGTTACTTTCTCCGCTAATGCCCCAGGGGATCCAGCCTACTTTTATTAGAAGACTGCAACTCTTTATATAAATGCAGTACTATTTTAATCTGTATTTAACATACATGGATATACTCATTTCTTTGTGTGTGTGTGTGTATGTATGTGTGTAATGTGATGCTACGTCAGGCCAGACAACTTGTTATTATGCCACTAACAAACTAATCTTAATTGGACCCTTAATTTCTGCACACACACAAATAAATTATTTTAGCATGCTATATATCACAAGCTCTAGGGCAACAGGATGGCAGTGTGATGATGAGACAGGGCTAATGCTCTTCTCTAAACAAAAGAAAATTTCTAGAATTTCACATTATTTTTCTTAAAAATATATTTTTCCCTAGTACTAAAATATATTTATTAAGATACAACTAGAAGCCAGTAAGCTTAGAAATACAGTTTGCATGAAAACACACCCTCTATAGGCAGGGTTTATTACCTCTTCACTGGCTAAAAACATGAAGTTTTAGTTTTTATGGACATTTTTCTTCCCCTTTTAGATTTTGCTGAGAAATTAAAAGAGAATTTACAGAAAGGTACAGAAAATTCTCTTAGATGTTTGATGGAAAACAAGGGAAAT